TTGAAGAGACTGTTGAGTGTTCAGATGGCTTTTGATTGGAGGGTCCTGCACATCAGTGTGCGTGTCCTGTTTGAAGGTGTCTCTTCATTATTATGCATCAAAGTGAACTACATCAAATATTTAACAAAGAAAGGATCCATTGGAAGTAGAGAAGATACGTGTCCATAGCAGATTTCACTTGGTTAGTGTCTGCAGACAACTGTTCCCCTACAAAACAGGCTTGGGCTACTAAAAAGTAAGAAAAAAGTTTCCTGCTTGAAGTAAAATCAAACCATTATTATCATATAAGTGACTGATGCTTATGATTCATAGTTTGAGATGTGAAGTGGTAGATGTCAGTGGTAATTTTTGTTCATGTATGTTACATAAATATCAAATTTCAGGAAAATATTGGTTTTAATACTGCATGCAACTAAAGTAAGAAAGTACTGGGGCAGTTTGTGAAGACAGGTAGCTGAATAAAATAAAAATATATTATTGAAATAATGGCAAAGGTCTCATAATTAGAATTTTTAACAGAAAATTCTAAATTATTAGAATTTTAGTATGGTTATTTAAAAATATAAAATACCTAATGGTCATATCGTAGAGTATACATTTATACACACTGAAGCAGATGCAGGATGCTTGTTGGCCCCCTCCATTGCACCATTTTCATGCTGATGTAATGCTGTTAAGGAATTACCTGGTGAGCACTAGTGCAGAGACATGAAGAATTAGGTCATACAACAGCTAATGTTACAGAAGATTTTCCCTTCATTCCAAAAAAGCATATGCATAATAAAGGGCTCTTGTGTCCTTCAGGAGACAAAATTCAGGCCTGAATGTCTTGATTTCTTCTGCTTCTCATTGTGTTTTGTTAGATGCAGCTTTATGACATAAACGAGGTTAGACATGCACAAACACTGCACTGGGGCCGAGGCAGTTTCACCTCTGCACAACCAAAAGGGGCTACCTTGCTGCTTTTCTTCAACAGGATTGAAGCTCAACTGCTGGCATGATCCGTTGATTTAAGAAACAGAAAACTAATCCCTGCAAATAGTTCTAAGATTACATTCTGCAGGACTAGTTTTCCCAAAAGGCTCAACATGGTGTCAGACAGGCATCAGGGAGATAATAGAACTTGTGTTCACAGGAAAGGGAAGAAGCATATTGAGGCTGCCTATATTTACACTACCCTACAATCAAGTTGGGCTATTTTAATTCTGAAGTGTTGTAACTATGCTGTAACATGATCTGAAGTGCTGGCGTGTTGCACTTGCTTTAACCAGCATGGTATACTTGGTCAGGAGATATTTCTTTTCCTAGAGGAAGAGTTCTCTGATCTACAATTAAAATTAATCTGAATTTCATTGGAAATTTTAATGGTTAAATGTAAAAAACTAAAGCAACCTAAAGCAGAAGACCCTAAATTCAGTGGCCAGACCTTTACCCAAGTGTCGTGGTTCAAGCCCAGCCGGCAACTTGGAACCACCCAGCCGCTCACTCACTCTCCCCCCTCTTCCTTCCTCCCTCTGCTCCTGGAGGGATGGGGAGGAGAATCGGAGGAATGTAACTCCCACGAGTTGAGATAACAGCTCTCCAGTAACTAAGGTATAATACAAACCACTACTGCTACCAGTAATAATGATAAGAGGAATAACAAGGGGAGAGGACACAACCGCTCACCACCCACCGACCGATACCCAGCCTGACCCGAGCAGCGATCTGGGCCTTCCGGGTAACTCCCCCCAGTTTCTATACTGGGCATGACGTGCTGTGGTATGGAATACCCCTTTGGCCAGTTTGGGTCAGGTGTCCTGTCTCTGCTTCCTCCTGGCTTCCCCTCCTCCCTGGCAGAGCATGAGACTGAGAAAGTCCTTGGTCAGAGTAAACATTACTGAGCAACAACTAAAAACATCGGTGTTATCAGCATTGTTCCCAGACTGAATGTCAAAACCACAGCACTGCACCAGCTACTAAGAAGGAGAAAAAATGAGAAAAAAATGACTGCTGTAGCTGAACCCAGGACACCAAGTAAAACAAAGAAAGAAAGAAATGGTCCCAGACTGCTGAGATACGAACATTTTCATTGCAAACTGCTGTGAGAAGAAAAGTGGAGAAATTCTAACCAAGCCAAACAAAAAACCCTGCTGAAATTAAGAAAAAATAGATCATTCCCAAGAAAGTGCTTATTCTACTGGGGGAGGGAGTTGATGCTAAAATGTCAACTAAAAAGGAAGAAGCTTTTCAATTATCAGGGTCCATTGAGTCTGTGCTTTATAAAACAGAATAGGTCCTATCCTAAAGCCAACTGAGGAACAGTAAACTGTGCTCAGGTTTTTATCAATCAAAATAGAAAGGACTATTCCTAAGTGCTTGTAAAGCTGCGTAAAGGAACTTTGGAGTTTGTGAACTCTGCTCTATAGCTGATACTCGAAAGTAGACTTCAGGGGCATAATATCTTCAGTGAGTAAACGAGTCTCTGATGTTACAGCTCATCTGTCATTAGAGTAGTGAAAAACACAAACTATGTTTTTGAATTATTCTGCTTGATTAATTTTTGCCTTTCAGAATGGATAAACTCTGCACTTAAAGGATGCATCTCAGCTGTTACACTTGTTTAAAGTTAGAGATCTACAGGTATAGCTTAATCATCATTTCTTTCGGCAGCCTTTTAGCTTACATCTTTAAATTAGAGAATTCCTAACACTGAGACCTGGCAAGTTCAATTGGACAGCTGAGGCAGTGAAAGAGAAGCAAGACTGGGGACACAGAATGGGGTGAGCAATATAATAGTGCAATGACAAGAAATGCTTGCCAAACTGCAGCATAAGCTGTTGTACTAAACCTTCATAATTAATGGACACTGTGGGAGGTGATCCAGCTGGTTTAGGAATAGAGGACTTACCTTTGGGAAGTAACTGTTCTCCTGGTTAATAAAAAGTGTTTTTAAAAGGAGGGGTAGGAGAAATGTCTGAACTTCAAGGGCAAAGAGATATTACTTTTTCCTGGCTGGCTTAAAAAAACCCTTCCTTGTGATTTTTTCACATCTACTCAAATAAAAAACTAAAGGAGAAAAGTGGCCTGGGTTGGAAGCTTTCATTTTCTGTGTCTATAACAGTGTTCGTTAAAACAGATCAGTTACAGCCTCTTGAACTAAAAGATTACACTGGAAACAAGATTAGAGGCTACTTGTGCCAGCTGCGTTAGGAAGAACATGGTAGACATGAGATTGTTTCCACTCTAGGCTGTTGAAAGAAATATGAGAAAGTAAAGATATTGACAAATATCTCAAACTGTGCATGTGGAATCATATGTGATGAGTTGTAGACGTAAGAGGTTATTTCAGAAGTACCCAAAAACTGTCTTTGCATTATTGATGCTGATCAGCATGTCAGGCTGAGACTCAGAACATTTCAACCCTAAGTTTCTGTTAGTTGGTGGTTCGGCTGCATGAGGCCCAGCACAAAAAGTAAAATATTCATCAAACCTAATTTTCTTCCTTCAAAATGCTAACTGCAGTTGTTTGTTGGCGTGAGTGTCTAGAAAAATATATAGAGCACACACAGCAAAAAAGTTCATGTATCCATTCTTATCAGATCTCAGTGAACAGAACATCTTCTCTGACTTCACGTGTTGCCTCCAGAATATTAGAATAGTCTGTGTTTCAGAGACCAATTTCTTGGTAAATGCAAGATTTTTCTGCACATTTACTAAAAAATTCCCACTACAGGTTTCCTTCACATCTTGTGGCTTGGAGGAGTCTTGTCCCTCCTCCTTCCCTTCCTTGGACTGATCATTTATCTGATTAGAGGAAAAGAGCATATTGTGGTGATTTCTGGTTGTTATGCAGCAGTGGAAATCATCCAGCCTCTTTCCCCTGGTTTATGTTCCCAAGGAGCCACCAATTACTGAGTCTGAGTTTCAACTCTCCTCATAAATCAGTGCTATTAAAATCATTAAACAGTGATGTAATTTCAATCCAAAGTATAGCTTTATTGCATTTGATTATCAATAATTGTATCAAAATGATAATTTTCTCTTAAGTATTTTAATGGGCTCTTTTAATATCTGCATCCGGCTGCACTTTATCACTCAGTGTATCTCCTTTGCATGTCTTTAACTCACATCTGCTGACTTGATGGACTTTTACCATGCCAGTGAAGAGCAATGTGGCTGTACTAGTGTGGCTGGATTCTGCTTTGCTTAGTGGCAGAACAGTTGTCAGCTCAAAACTTTCTCTGCAGAATCTGCCCGAATAATGATGATGGAAGGGCCAGAAGAAGGCATAGCTGGGGCTGCCATCCCCAAGTAGAGATGGAAGCCCTGAGGGTAGAAAACTCATCTTTTGGCTTATATCTTGGTTTATATCATCTTTTGAGTATATTTGACATGGGAAAAATTATGAGAAAATCAGCCTGTATTCCCATGACACCTTTTATTTCTTCCTTTCTTTCTTCCTTTCCTTTCTTTCTTTCCTTTCTTTCCTTTCTCAGGGTGGAATCTTGAGTATACTAACAAAAGATATACCAATTTGTTATGAAAGCTGTGTGTCACGTGTAAGATATTTCTAATAAGAATGGAATCTCAGACTTTTTTAGCACAAAATCTGCCTTGTAGACTCAAATGTCAAACGTAATTGTAAAAAGATGCTCTTGCCAGTGCATGTGAGTATGTGTATATCAGTGTGTGTATACATATCTCTCAATGTGTTTCTCAATTTATGATTATGAAGTTTTGTTTCCAATTTTGTACCTATTTCTGTTCTCCAAGTGATCTTATTTGTATGCATATTTTAGTAAAAGAGATTCTGAAGAAATTTAAGAAAAACATAATGTCAAGTACAGAAGTAAATAGTTTCCATCTAGATGTTAGTAATACGACATTATAAATAGGGTTGATTTTAATTTCCTAGCTAGAATGTTAAAGCTGGTTAGTATGAAATCCTCTTCTCTTTCATCCACATAATTACTATTCTGTAGCTGGCTCTGCATAACTTGATTATATTATGTTCTCAGGGCTGTTGCTGGAGTTGACGGAGACCCTGATTTAGTTCATATGGAAATCCAGGACCCCAGTGGAGGTATGCACATGAAAATGTTATTATCAATTGATACCCTAGTGTATAGTCATTTCTCTCAGGTTTAGAGTGTACTTTTTGAATTGTTTTTAAACTGTGCAAGTCAGATTTGTTCTCTGTTTATCTGTAGTCAGCAAAGCTGTTATGTAAAATATAGTATAATTTAAAATTTACTTGTTTTCCACTCGAAGACAAATTGACGTCAAGATGCTATGCTCTGTTGAAAATGTCCATTAATAGTGCAATTTATTCTGGCAGTTAAACACTGAACATTTTTTCCTGATTTGAAATAAAACTGGTAATGCAGTGTTAGTGCTGGGTCAGGGTCTGTTAAAGTGAATTGTTGCATGTGCCAGTCCATCTGCACTAACCACCATCTCCCGGAATTTCTTCATGTTACGGTGTCCAGTATACTTTGAGACTTCAAAAGGGAAATAAATGAAAAAGCAGATTAGCAGTCAGGATGTGCTGTACTAAAGAGTCACCATGTTTCCAAAAGCTTGTACAGTTTCTTGTTACCAATTGTACTCTTGAAAGGTAATTTAATTCCTTGAATCAGATCATCTAAGTTCTGTGCACTCTTAAAAATGAGTTGTAAAGAATGCACAGTTTGACTTTCCCTGATCCAGAAGCTTTTCTTCATTTCAGTCTTATTAAAAAAGTTAAAGTTGCCATGTTAAAATCTGGATGACAAAGTTTCTAAACCTTTTAGCACTGAGATTTCTGAGACATCCTACAGACTCCTACACAGCCCTATTAGTTGCTCAGTTTAGAGACACTGTAAGAAGATTCTTCAGGAGCTGGATGGAAAGTATTTTTTTTTTATTGAACAGAAACAGCAGAAAAATTAAAACTCTCATAACTGTCTCCTGGCTGGGTTCTCAACAAACTGACTTTGGGTACTTGTGGACAGTACAAGCATTGCCACTGATTTTAGTGGAAAGAACATCTTTGTGCCACCTATCTGGTGAAGAACTGTAATGCTTATCATGTGAATTATGAATAGCTGCAAGACCTTTTGATGGCCTGTTGCTCAAATATCCTTGTGATGATTTCGACATAAGCAGGAGGACTTGGATTGATTTTAGCTGCCTCTTAAACAGATGCAGGTTTTAAAACAAATATTTGTATCTATTATACTGGTTTGGACTCTTCTAACTAAAAGTAATAAAATGTGGAATATATTTCCTATTACACTGGAAAAATAATGAAGGACACAGGGATGCATTATTCACTCCTTCATACTGTTTCTGGAGCAGGGGGAGAATTAGTGATCTGGACACAGGATTGTGTATATAATGTTTTTTTTTTCACTGCACTTGGGAAAGTCACTCAAGTACTTTGTGCTTAGAAGCTTGTGACAGAGGGTGAGCCGTACAAGGGCTTGCATCTAGGAGAAGGTCTTTGGGCTACAGCTGGTGTAAGATGATTATTGGCTCTGCTCTCTCTGATAAGAGCAGTGTGCATCAAAGAAGCGGTGATGCTATTCTGACAGCCCAGGCAGAGGATATTCCTCACCCATTGCTAGCCGGAGAGAAGACAGAGGCCATAGCCTCCACTGATATAAATCAGTCCAGGCTTTTTCAGCAAGGTAGTAACTCTGAATAGAGAAGTCTTGCCCCAACAGAGCTGTTCCAGTGGTCTGTTAATAGTGTGTCTTAACTTTCCTACAGAGCTTTGAAAATAGCCTTTAAAATTCTGCATGCTGTCTATTAAACGGAGCCTGATTCTCTTCTTGCTCATCACAATTTTATACTGGGGTTGATATATTGATTTCAATTGTGTTGTGTCAGGCTGCTATTTCTTCAAGTGAATAATTCGTCTCTGTGCATAGGTTAAGTGAGAAAAGAGGCTCCTATTATCCCCACCCGTGAATGTCTCATTCATCTAACCCCTAATCTCTCTGGACCAGCAAAATTTGGATAATAACAGGCTGCCTCCCAGGAATGATCTGAACTGTAAGCAGTTAATATATTCTCAGTACATTGGAGACTGAAAAACTCTTGTATGAGGGTTTAATGTAATAATTTTACAACTAACTCACCTGGCAAAGGCAGCACTTTCC